ACGCACGCACGCACACACACACACACACACACACACACACAAACACGCACGCAGACACGCACGCACGCACGCACGCACGCACGCACGGACGCACGCACGCACGCACGCACGCACACACACACAAACACACACACACACACGCACACACCTATAAACACACGCGTACGCACGCAAGCACGCACGCACGCACGCGCACGCTGCAGGGAATTCCGGCAGGCAGGCGACGCGGCCAAGGGTCCAATCCAGCTACCCTTTTGTGGCTCAGACGCCTGAGCTCGGCGCTCTCATTTGCCCAGGTCCTCCGTTTTTCAGAACGTCGAGTACTCCCAACACGAAGTTGTCATTCAACATTGGACGCCGACGACACAAATGATCGACTCCGTGCTCTATTTCTTCGGAGAGGTATTGTGTGCAAAGATGTGTATGCATATTTGTATTCCTGGCCATTGAACACGTATATCATCTAAGTATGGGCGAACGTGTAGTTTTGATGTCCCTCTCCCCCCCGCGTTGTCACATGAATGATCCCTGACCGAGGATTCACAAGCGCCCCCCCAGATCGGGTGGGCCCCAGGTTTCCATGGGCCTCCTCCGAAGGGACGACGACGCCAGCGCCGACGCCGACGCCTAATGTCGACGACCGACGCCCAATCCCAACGCCCACGCGGACGCCGACGCCGACGCTGACGCCGACCCCCACGCCCACGCCCACGCTCACGCCGCCGCCGACGACGACGACGATGATGACGACGGTGACGACGACGATGACGACGACGACGACGCCGACGCCGACGCAGACGCCGACGCCGACGCGACGTTGACGCCGACGTCGACGCCGCCGACGCCGACGCCGAAGCCGACCCCGACGCCGACGCCGACGCTGTCGACGGACAACGACGACAACGACGACGCCAACGACGAACGCCGATGACGACGACGCCGACACCGACGCTGACGCCGACGCCGACGCCGACGCCGACGCTGGCGCCGCTGCCGCCGACGCCAACGCCAACGCCGACGGTGCCGACGGACGACGACGACGACGACGTCGACGACGACGACGACGACGACGACAATCCACCGTACACCCACAGGTGGAGGGAGGGTTGGGTGCACCGGTACCTTCCTCCACGCCACGCCCACAGGGCCACGACCACAAGGGGGGGAACGATCCCATCCGCGAGGCCTTCGCGAGGCTTACGGGAGTACCCATCCACAGGGAGAGGGGGTTTCGATCCTATACGTTAAATGCATGGGGTGGGGGAGGGAAAGGGGGGGGGCAACCCTGGATCACAAGTGACCTCCTCCTCCTCCTACTCCTCCTCGTCTCCCGTCCGCTTTCCGCTTCTACTTCGTTTCCCGCTAGCCTTTGTTGCTGCCTGTTCCCGTTCCCTTGTTACCTTGTGTCCCTCCTCTCCCTCCTCTGTCACTCCTCGTGCACCCCTCGTCATGGTATTCCCCCGTCCCCATGTGGCCCCCTCCTTCCCCTGGCCCCGCCATTGCCTTCCCCCTCCCTCCGCTAGTTCCTGTCGCTGTGTTTGGACAGTGCAAATGCGGCGGGAGGAAAACTCGACAAGTCCTTCTACGAAGAGGCCCCCGAATGGCAGTACATGGAGGACGACGACGGGCGGACCTACTGGAGCAACATGGAGACGACCTCTCTGGGGCCAGCGCTGGTTGGGGCCCAGATTTTCTTTTCGATCCCATCCTCTTCCTACTCCTCCCCATTCACACCCTCTGTCTTCTGCAGAGGAAACCCATGCCGAGAAACACCCTGCTTGCCTCCAGGGTGCCTTCGGTTTCGATGGTTTGCGACGCAAAAGCGCGACGGTCCCACACCAAGAAACAGTGGACGCCCTGGGGTCTCCTTATTGGGTTTCTTACGGAAGGTTTCTTGTGATCGAGCTCCTACAGTCGGGGCCTTGAAGAAGGAACCCTTTTCGTCAGGGAGGGGCTCCGCGTTCCTTTAAGTGTTTCACAGCTTGCCTCAGGCTTTCCTCATGTTTTCGATCGGGAACCGAAGGTCAACTTATGAAAAAAGGGGCCTCGTTCCTTATCTACGGTTCCTTAGGTCAGCGCCCCGACTGCACTGTACCTAGGTCGCCCGCGGGGGCGCGAAGAGCATCGCGCCTCGCGCGCCGCGGCCTGGGCCAGAGCGGCGGACCGTTCTCCCCGTGCGCGCGGGCGCAGCTGTGATCCCGCGTGGCGCCCGGCGGGGCGGGAGGAGCAACGTTGGGTCGCTTGGGTCACCTCCGGATGCAGCCGTCACGATCGAGTGAGGACCGCACTGCGTCCAGGAGGGGACGGGGTTGTCGAGCCGCTCCTCAGATCTAGGTCGGGCTACGTTCGTGCCGCCGGAGCTCGCCGTGGCAAGGACAGCCCACTCGTTCCCTGTCCTGTCCAGCGTTCTTGGCACGACGACGGTCCGGAGGAGGAGGGGGAGGAGGAGGAGGAGGAGGAGGAGGAGGAGGAGGAGGAGGAGGAGGAGGAGGAGGGGGAGGAGGAGTAGGAGGAGGAGGAGGAGGAGGAGGAAGAAGAGGGGGAGGGGGAGTGGGAGACAGGATGCTTTCAAGGACAGGGTGCATCCTTGCTCCGTCGATCCGGCTCAGTCTCGATGTATCGTGCCAGTGCGGCCCGATCGGGCGCGATTTCTTCGATATGCCAGCGATGCGGTGCTGCGCGATGTCTGCAGGGGCGCTCTCGCCGTGCTTTCTTGCACGGCCGATCCGATCCGATTCCGACTCCGTGCTGATGCCGGTCGACCCGGCAACATTGCGATTAGTGATCGTTTCATTAGTCATTGTTTTGCCGATCGGCGCGGGCCTTCCCCCCCCCACGAAGTAGATCTTGGCTGTTTGTGGGCGCCTGTTTCAGGCAGGTTGAGTCTCCCCCATGGGACGCACTGTGGCAAAAGCAGTCGCACTGAGCAGAGGTCCGGAGCCAGAACCCGCCCCTTCCGCCCAATGTCGAACCGCCGGGTAAAACATACTCTCTTACATGGACTGAATTTCCGATAGGATGTTGAGTGATCGGAAGCTTCTGCGAATAGGACCGCGATTCATCGCGCTCCCCCTCGCATTCCCAGCGCGCTCGCGGCCGACGAGGGACCTCCGCCGTGGAAGGCGCGGCCCAGGAGACCTGCCAGAGTGCCTGGCGAGGCATTATCAGCGCCCGCCGTTCCCGTTCGGATCGCCCTCGCTGCATGAGCATAAACGTGCGGAGGTCCGCACGGGTTTCTTGGATCTGCGCTGAGCTCCCTCCCTCCCGCGAGCCTCAGCGCGCCACAGGCTGCGCTGGAGGCGCCGCCTCCGGGGAGCCCCACGCAGATCCAAGAGACCCGCGCGGACCCTTATGGAAGCTCATGTGTGCACCGTGTTCTCTGCGAGCTCTGGAGTCCGGGTCTCCGGCTGGGTGTCGAACTGGAAGTGCTGTTGCACCCCCTCGTCGTGGATGTTGTTCCCATCGTACTTTAGAACCACATCCCTGACAGATGTTTCGAGCACCCAGGGGGGGTATCGAAACAGTGTCTGCGCGGCACACTCGTGAAGTGTCGAACGAGTATCGCCTTCCAGGGCCCGACACGTGAAAACCCTCCAGTTTCGGTATTGTCTCTGCGCTCGAAACTCCTTCTGATGGTCAGGGCTAAGGTAGGTTGAAACATCATGATCCTCGTCGTCGTCGGATGCTCGGGCCGAACGAGAAGGGGGGATAGGGAAAGGGGGGTACGAAATCTGCTGCATGCAGCTGGTTTCGGCCCCGCCGCCGGGCCCAATCCTCGATACATGGGCGCCTCCCGGCGCCGGCAGGCGCTGGGAAAATCAGCTACGTGAGCTGATTCTCTACCGTGAGAATATGCTACGTCAGGCTTCTCCTCCTCCTTCCTCCTCCTTCCTCCTCCTCCCCCTCCCTCCCCTTCCCTCCTCCTCCTCCTCCTCCTCCTCCTCCTCCTCCCCCTCCTCCTCCCCTTCTCCTCCCCCTCCTCCCCCCTCCTCCCTCCCCCTCCTCCTCCTCCTCCCCTCCTCCTCCCCCTCCCCTCCCCCCTCCCTCCTCCCCCCTCCTCCTCCTCCTTCTCCTCCTCCTCTCCTCCTCCTCCTCCTCCTCCTCCTCCTCCTCCTCCCTCTCCTCCCTCTCCTCCTCCTCATCCTCAGCCTAGGGCCTACGGGAGGCGCTGGGAAATATCTTGCCCTCCCCCCCTTTCGTTCCCCCCGAGATGCACCGCTGCCCTCGCTCGGCGCCTGGCTCGTGCGGTGCCACTCGAGGGGTGCTGGGCGATTCGACCCCGACCGGGTGGCCGCCCCGTCGCACGCACGCCACCGTGCGCGGCCACGGGCGGGCGCCGCACCCCTGCCTGGCGTGACCCGCCCCGCCCCGCCCCGCCCCTTTCGGCGCTTGCGGGGAGGCCGCCAGCAAGAGCACGGGTCCGCGGCCAGGTGGCCTGAAGTCGGGCCTGTCCCTCTACAGAAGGGATTTTCCAGCATAATTCAAAGATAGTCTGGGGACGATTTACTGACCACTGTGGAGCATTTTTGTTGAGCATTTGTTGCGTATTCAAACTTTTCGCCCCAAATCCGCCTGTAGGAGGACAGGCCCGACCTAAAGGTGGCACCGACGGCGAGCGGGGAGGCCTCCAATTGCACGGCGCCTCGGCCCAGGGGCACTCGCCATCCTTGCTCCCCTCCTCCCCCTCGTCCTCCCCCTCCTCCTCCCGGGCGTCCTCCTCCTCGTCCTCCCGCCTCCCCCTCCCCCTCCTCGTCCTCCTCCTCCTCGTCCTCCCTCCTCCCCCTCCCTCCTCCCCCTCCTCCCCCTCGTCCTTCCCCTCGTCCTCCTCCTCGCCCTCCCTCCTCCCCCTCGTACCCCATGTGCACCAGGATCCGGTTTCCTGTGGTGGAAGCTTCAGTGCAGGGCCTGAAAAAGTGTCAGAGTATAAAGTTCGTTTCCCTATTCAATGTTGCTGGTGACCCCCCAAACAAAGCTCTCGGCTGGCAATTCGACTCGTCCTCCCCCTCCTCGTCCTTCCCCTCATTACCATCATCGTTACTTACCATCAGGGGTCCTCATCTTCCAGCGGAGTCAACACGGATAGTAAGGATGAGCGACTTGCCAAGGCCGCCCTTGCATCCTTCCCCGCCGGCCCGTCCTCGGCCACGTTCGTTGGCCGCGTCCAGCTCGAAAAAACGTGCCAGCCTGGGCGCCCAAGGCCCTTGCATCCTTCTCTCTAGGCCTCCTAGATGGGGTCGGAGCAGGTGGTCACCACCCACCAAACCACCCCAACCCAACCCGAAGGCTCAGATTTACCCTCGTTTTCCAGTGGGGGGGGGGTCGGGAAGCATCGAAAAAACACGTGTGGGACCCTTACCCCCCCCAACCCGAAATTCGGGTCTTCGGGTTGGGTTGGGGTGGTCTGGTAGGTAGTCAGGTGGGGTCGGAGATCGCGCCGCATCGCCGATGCATCGGCGATGCGGCGCGATGCGGAGCCCGATTTTCTCCACGCCCGCGTCGCCGTTGCATCGCCCACGTCGACGATGCATCGCCAGTGCATCGCCGATGTATCGCCGATGCGTCGCCGATGTATCGGCGATGCGGCGCGATCCTCCGACCCCATCTGCTCCGACCCCATCTAGGAGGCTTCTATCCTCGCGCATCTTTGCTATCAGTTTTGATCCCCTTCTTGGCACGGGCCGCTCGGCTCTGCCCCAGGAGGGCATCCGCTTCTTCGACAAGCCCGGCGAGGAGCCGATGGCCGGCGGGCCTGGCGCGGGGGGCGCGTGAGCAGCCAAGCTGCTTCGGACTCGCCGCGGGGGGGCGGGCGTCCTGAAGGAGAGGCGGGCCCCGGGGGGGGCTTTCTGCCGCTGGCGTGCCTCCGGAGCCCTGTCCGGGCCCCCGGGGCCGCCAAGACACGGCCAAGGGATGACAGTCACCGAGAGCGTCCCGCTGCTCGCAGTGCCTCTACTCTCGGCGGCGAGCCCGGCGGGGCAGTCTCAGAGGGGGCGGGCCTCCTCCTCAGCAGGCTGGGGGCTTCTCGGGCCTTCTGAGGAGTGTTCCCGGCCTTCCCCGGGGACGGAGAGAGTTTCTCAGAAGGCGCGACGGCTTCTGAGAAGCCCCGCCGCTTCCCGAGAAGGCCTTCTCCTTCTCACTTCCCCCCCCCTCGCTCGCCGCCGATACTTGCAAACGTCCGAAAAGCACATGTTCACCTCGATATCATGGATCGTAAACAGCCTCCGCCGCGGATCTGGGCCATCTGCGAGTGGCTACTTTGCGGGTAGAGAAACGCGCTTGTCTAGAGAAAGTGGTCCTTGGGGCGTGGTCCAGGCCTCCGGGGAGCCGCACTGCGAAAAAGCCACTACGCCGGATGCCTGGAGAGGTGGGGCAGGTGGGGGAGAGGGTGAGGAGGGCTGCTTAGAGCGTAGAGCTTAGAGCGTTTTTGTTTAGATCCCTTTGCGATAACGGACGAGACCTTGGAGGGGGGGATGGGGGAGTCGGCAACGTCACGATTCGCGCTGGCTCCGTCTGGGAATTTGCTGCCCCTGACCGCTCCAGGACGGCAGGACCGGCGGGCGCAAGGGGTGGGGCGGGCGGGGCCGGTAACGCGCGCACCATCGCGAACAAGAAAGAACAGGCTCTCAAGGGAGAAGGGTGGATTGACAGGTGGGGGGGGGGCCATTCTATTTTTCTGATCCCACAGGCGTGCGAGCGATAGATGGTGGTGCGAGACGCCCTGCGGACGTATCCACACGAGGCTCGAGCCAGCCAGTCAGGAGGAGGCGGGGTAATTAGGACGACGACGGTGAGGAGAGCTGGTCCTGATCCCTGGCTCCCCCGCACAGGCCTCCGGAGGCCTTCGGCCACACGCACAGGGGGGGGCGAAGGGGCAGGGGGGGAGGCTTCGTACAGTCGAGTTTGATTCGTAGGTCGACTCTGCCCAAACAAGGGTACCCTTGTGTCCTGTGGTTCGCGACCCATGCCCTCTACGTTCCACTGGCAATGTGGCCATCGGAAGAGTCTTGTGTCCTCTCGCGTGTCCTCTCCCATCCACCCCGACTGTAGAAGCACCCCTGCTTCCAAGAAGCCTTCGCTCCTCCCCCATGCCCCTCTTCCCCTGCGCGCCGCCGAGTCGGGGGCAACCCCTGGCAGCCCAGGGGGATGGAGGAAGGGCGGGGAGGCCCCGCAGAAGCACCCCTGCTTCCAGGAAGCCTTCGCCCCTTCCCCATGCTCCCCCCCCCCCTGCGTGCCGCCGAGTCGGGGGCAACCCCTGGCAGCCCCGCGGGGAGGGTCGGAGAACGGAAAAAAATGCATTGGCAGAATGCCTCGGAGGTGCGCGCGGCAGTCTCTGGCTAGCGCTCCTCCTCCTCCTCCTCCTCCTCCTCCTCCTCCTCCTCCTCCTCCTCCTCCTCCTCCTCTTCCTCTCCTTTTTTCCCTCCTCCTCCTACTCCTCCTCCTCTTCTCCTCCTCCTCCTCCTCCTCTGGCGCCGATCCAGGAACAGATCCGCACGTACCCCTCCGAGAACTTTTCTCTCTCTCTCTCTCTGTGCCTTGTCTTGGTTCCTCGAGGCAGGCCATGGAGGGGCTCCGCGCCGCTCGCGGAAGAGTCCGCGCGGGCAACCGAGAGCTCGTGCTCCTGAGTTGCTGTGCCTCTGGGAAGAGGCCCCGAGGCTCACGCCCCCCCGTTCCTTCGGGGGTCCCGCCCACCCGACTCGTCATGGCGCTCTCAAGCCCGTGCCTTCTTCCGTTCGGTGCGCGCGGCGTCAGCGCTTCGCCCCCGTGGGGCTCGTCAGGACTCGGATGCCAGCGGCAGCGGCAGCGGCACGCGCACACAGCAAGCGCACAGGACACTCTGCTGCGCACCAGTGCGATGGCGATCTTTTTTGTTATTCCTTGTTCTGCCGATCGGCGCGGGCCCTCGCACCCCCTCCCTCCCCCCCCCCACGTGGAGTAGATCTTTGCTGTTTGGTGCGCCTGTTTCGAGCAGGTGGAGTCCCCCCTCATAATGGACGCACTGTTGAGGTCCGGAGCCAGACCCCCCCTCCCCCCCCGTTCCACCCAATGTCGAAACGTCGAATAAGAAGATGCTCGCATGGCGGACATACGCACAATTTGCACAGTGCATGCACGCGGCGTGCACGAGGGCCCCCATTCCCTCGGGGCCCCGCCTCCTCCGTGGCAGCAGCTGTAGGATTATGTCGGGCCTGTCCCTCTACAGGGGGGATATTCAGAAATAGTAGAAAATATAGCTTGGGGACTATTTTTGGAGTATTTTTTTACCATTTTGGAGTATGTTATTTTGGGTATTCTTTTTGTAGAAAATCCCCCCGTAGGGGGACACGCCCGACTTAGCTGTAGGACGGGCGCGCGCCCCGGCCACCGCGCGGGCGCGGGGCGGCCGCGGCGCGAGAGGGCGACGCGGGCCGGCCGCGCGCGCGATCCCTGTGCCGTCGGAGGCCCGAAAGGGAGCGAGAGCGCAGCGCCCTCGACGTCTTCGGCGTCCTCGGCGTTCTCGACGGCCCCTCGGGAGCGCGACGCCTTCGACGCCCTCGACGGCTTCGACGGCTTCTCCGGAACACGCAGCGCTCTCGACATGTCCGACGCCTCCTCGGGCACGCACCTGTTTCGACGCTCTCGGCGGCTTCTCTGGAACGCGACGCTCTCGACGTTCTCGACGGCTCCTCCGGAACGCGACGGTCTCGACGGTTTCGACGGCTTCTCGGAAACGTAATTCAGACAGACAATTCTTGGGTTGGCCGCATGGTGTCAGGATAACACGTTCCCATCGTCCGTGTCATGGCGCATGCTGAATATATATATTCGTTACTATACAGTCGTTCCCTGTATCCTCCCAGCCCCTTCCTCCCAACACGATCGTTGTCTTTCTCAGCTTCTCGGGACCGCACCACTGTCGTTATATCGGGCCTGTCCCTTTACCCACCGGTCGTTGAAAGTAGGTATTCTTGGATTCCCAGATTCCAATCTATCTTAAGCGCCGTATTCAAAACCATGTATAGCCGTGCTAAGAACAGGCAGCCGTATTCAATACCATGTATATTCCAAGTCGCACCTCGAGGCAAGGTGGAGGATATCAGGTGGCCGTGCCGCGAGATGGGTTGCATCTTGTCTCTGGCAATACATGACGCTCGCGCCAGTAACGCAGGCGCGTTGAAGTGGACGCACACATTATGCTGACACCCCGATGGCCCAGTGATCACGGTTAGTTGATTGCTCGGAGTGCCGTGACACACATCGGCATGCACAAACATGTTGGACACACAGTCATGGGCTTGAGCGCTCAAAATACCTGACCCACGTTAGCTAAACTTGTGAGGATCGCTGTTCTGGCCGGCCGAGTCGAGCCTGCTCCAATGGACAGTGGTATGGCGTAAACGGGCCAGAGCGGCGCAGTAGCATCCAATTCTGTGATTGAGCCCAGGTTGTAGCGGTAAGCGATGCAGCGTGTTTGGGGTTCAGCGGGGGAGGAGTACGACGACGATTGGAAGGAGGATGCGGGGAAGCAAGGGAGAGTTTCTTTTTGACGTCGACATCAGGCAGGTGCCCTAAAAAGTTTGGCCATTGATTCAAGTCAAGGTCCCCGCTCCATCCACAGTGACCTCAGGACGCTTTGGATGCCGACCTTTTGCAGATCATCCCCCAACTGTTGACACGGGACGCCAGGAGCAAGGAGGAGGAGGGAACGCAAGCAGGAACTCTGAATATACTGTACGCGTTTTCTGCTCAGGGGCGGGCTTCCTAGTACGGAGTGCGTCCTCCACCGAACCTCAGTTCTTGAGCTGCACGCTTTTTGGGGGAGCTCCGTGGCGAAGCACAGCCTCCGAGCGCGCCAGAGTGCCGACCTGCGTGCTGGTGCGTGGCAGGTCCCGCCGTCCTATGGCACCCGCGGTAGACCCGCAGGGAGGAGAGTGACGAAGGAGGGGAGGCGAGGAGGACGCCTCCTCCTGGAGGAAGTGACGAGGGAGGGAATGAGGGAATGGAGGGAACACGAGGAGGGAATGGCGAGGAGGCGCGGTATACCCGCATGGAGGGAACGACGAGGAGGGAATGACGAGGAGGAGGAGGAGGAGGAGGAGGAGGAGGAGGAGGAGGGAATGGCGAGGAGTTGGAGCAGGTCTCCCCTGCGCCCCCCTTCCCTGGGCGGACGCCTGGGCTTCGGTGTTGCCCTCTCCGTGTTGCCTTCGGGGCGTGGGGGGTCCTCGTAGCCGCCTGCTCCATGCCGCTCTCCATCGTCGGATTTCCTGCCTGGGTTTCGAACCTCTGCCCTGGAGTCTCGAACGAAGGAGGGGAAACAGGGACGACGAGGAGGGTAAGCAGGGCAAGGCTTAGGTCTTCTTCACTGATGTAGGCCAGTGCTCAAGCCCTAACAGAGGTCGCACACACGTGTGGCTCGACGAATGAGTACCTGAGGTAACAAAGGGAGCACCAACATTGGACAGGAAGAAGCGTCCAGCATCTTCGGATCGTTGTTGTTGACGGTGTAGATGTTGTTTCTTTTGTTGTTGTTGCTGTTGCTGTTGCTGTTGTGATTGTTGTTGATGATGTTGTTATTGTGTTAGTATTGTTGCTGCTGTTGAACTCTCATTCCTGAAGAACAAATGTTGTTCATCCCCCCTCACCAGTGCATACTGTTTTTCTCAATCAAAGTGTGCCCCTCGCTTTCGCACTTTGTTTTTTGACAGGGAAAGTATTCCTGCTCAAACTGTCCCCCTGGCCCCCCGGATTACAACAACAACGGCTCCCGCCTGAGACTTCCTCCAATTTTACTCAGG